TCTACCGCATCCCGACCGAGGTGCTGGAGACTACCGTGGAAGAGGCCACGCGCACCGAAGCGATCGAAACGCTCGCGGAGGTCGGACCCTCGGATGGGCTCATCGCCGGGCCCGATGGTTCGATTTACCTCTCGTCACTGGAGTCAAACGCGGTCCGCGTATACCGGCCTGATGGAACAATCGACACCATCGCTCAGGACGCGCGCATCGCGTGGCCTGACTCGTTCTCCTGGACCTCGGAGGGCGACCTGTTGGTGACCGCATCGCGCATCCACCAGGGAGGCAACCCGCAAGGCCCCTATAGCATCCTGAAGATCGACCTGGAATGAACCAGGGTGCGTCATCATGACACTCCAGCAATCCTCGCATCCAAAGGTATGGTGCCTTCGTGATGGGCGCACCTCTGGCAACGGATGAGGGTATGGAAGAAGCGGGTCTAAAGTGGCTCGACGCGAGCTTCTTGTTGTTCACGCTCGCGGGCATCGGCGCTGGCGCAGCGAGCCTCGCGCTGACGCGCGCGATGGCAGGCTCTTCCCTGGTTCGCGAGCAGCGAGCGTGGGCGATCTACCTCGTGATCGCCGCGCTTATCTATATTGGATTCGGGCTCTTCAATGGCGCGAGCGCCACATGGATGATGGTGGAATCCAGCGGCGTCTTGCTTTACGGGGGCGTGGCGCTTGTCGGCGTGCTTCGCGCCCCACGCCTGATCGCGCTGGGTTGGCTGGCTCACAGCCTGTGGGATTTGCTCGTCCACCCGAACGGGCACCCAGGGTTTGTTCCCTGGTGGTATCCTCCGGTGTGCCTTGGCTTCGATGTGGTCGTTGGCGCCTGGCTGCTAAGGCGCTTTGCTCCTGCCGAGTAATCACTCGACCTGCGCGTCGATCCTCTGGCGCCAGTCCGTGAGCGCGCCTTCAAAGCGCGCGAAGCGAAAGTGCGTGTTCGCGCCGCTGGCAAGCCCGCGCTGGATTTGCTCGCCGATCTCGAAATCCTCATCCAACGTGCGTACCGAGAAGGCGTGGTTTTCCTTCAGAAAACGCAACGCTTTCTCGCTCGGATCGCCATCTTCTGGCGCGGTCCCCACCGTGAGCACCTCGATATGGGTGAGGTCCACGGCGATCGGATTCATGAGGATGAGGTCGAAGTGCGAGCGTTGCAGTAGGATCATCGCGTTGGGGTGAATCGTGTAGACGACGTGCGTGTGTTCACGAATATCCCACTGCTCCCTTGGCGTCTCTTCGAGCGTCTTTATCGACTTCTTCGGGAGCACCGAGCGGATGTGCGACCCGATACGCTCCCAGGTCGAGAGCGTATCACCGAAGAAGGGCGCGATGGTGTCCCTGTGCGCGATGAGGAAGTGGTAGGACTCGATGCCTCCTTCGACCACGAGCTTCCAGTTGGCCTCCCAGGTTTTGGAGGATGAGGCGTAGGTCGTGGGACGTGGACCGAGCACGTGCTCGAGCTCCTCGATGAGTTCGACGGGCAGCAGCTCGGGCGTATGACCTGGCGTGGGACACACGAGCACGAGCCCCGCAGCTTCCATGCAGGGCAACTCGACGAGGCCATGTTCGGAAGGTTCGAGCGTCGGGAACCCCTCGGCGTGGCGCACCTTGTGGAGCGTTCCGTCGGTGTTGTAGGTCCAGGCGTGATAGGGGCACACGAAGCGCTTGCAGTGTCCTTGCTCGCGAAGCTCGACGGTCGCGCCGCGGTGTCTGCACACGTTGAGGAAGGCGCGCAACTGACCATCCTCTCCGCGCGCCACGATCACGGGAGTGCCGATGACGTCGGCGGTGATAAAATCGCCCGGTGATGCGACGTTGGTGGCGAGCGTGACGACGTTGAAGCTGCGGCGAAAGATGCGCTCTTTCTCGCGCTCGAATCGCTCCACATCGGAGTAATCGGTGACCGCCACGAACGCCTCGTCTCCATCGATCGGGCGGCGTTTTTCCAAAGTCATCGCGAGCGATGTCTCGAGCACCTCGAGTTCCTTTTCCCTGTTCATCTGGCAACCTCCTCCTGGATGCAAAGCACGCGGCGCATGAATGTCTGGAGTTCTCGAGCGACGCGTTCCTCGGACCACCGATCCTCGCCGCCGAGCGCGCTGTGTAAGAGTTGTCCGACGCCTCCCATCAGGAGCGCGCCGCAGACCTCGGCGTCGATGTGTTCTGGCACGCGCCCCAAGTCCTGCCCTCGGCGAACGTTTGTGATGGCGCCATGAACCAGACGATCGGAGCGAAACCGCTGGTGTCGCACCGCCTCGGCATCGCCCAACAGGCGCTGTTGCATGAGCGCACCGAGCGGATGTTTGTAGTGGTATTCGACGGTGAGGCGGATGCGCTCCTTCTCGCGCTCCCACCAATCCTCGGACACCTCGTCGAGCGTGGGTCGGTAAGCGAGCGCCTCCCAGTCGTCGTAGAAGTCATCGACCAGCGCGACGAGCATCGCGCTCTTGGAAGAGAAGTGTCGATACGGGGCGCCCGCAGATACGCCCGCCCTGGCGGCGACAGAGGCGAACTCCACCACGCCGTCCTGCTCGACGAGCTCCTGGATGGTCGCCTCCAAGAGCCGCTCGCGTGTTTTGCTTCCGCGTCGTGTTTGTTTCTCAGTCATGGTCGTTTTCTTGTGTGAAGCCAGCAAAGTGAATTTACTTTACTAAACTTTCAAAAGAAAACAACACCACAGCACGCCTCGATATCCTCCCCCAACCTCACACCGACGTGCGCGTATAATGCGTGCCCTTACTCGATTCTCCAGAGCTCCGAGCCGTGGACGCCATCATCGAAGGAGAAGTACACGCTGTCATTCAACTCCACGAACTCGACGCCGACGGGGAGTTCCACGTCAGAGGCCTGTTCGAGGATCATGACCTGACGAGTGCCCCGGCTCGTGCCATCTGTCACCCAGAGTTGGCCCACCTCCCCCCCATCCTTCGCGCGCAACGCCGCGAACACCAGACGGTTATCGAGGATCACGCTCGCCGAGAGCGCTGCGTCCGGAGCAAAGATCACCGAGGAAGAGAGCGTGGTCACCTCGCTCGTGGCGAGGTCGAGCGCGTGCAGGCCCGCGATATCGCCAAAATAGCGGGCTGTCTCGAAGACAAGCAGATCTCCCAGGAACGCCATATCGACGATATGCCGGGAGCCCACATCACCCGAGGTCATCACGCGCTCGGTTCCGGCCGCGGTGCCGTCTGTCCTCCAGAGCTCAGCAGATTGCCCAGCCGTGAAATACATCACGCCATCATGTTCCGCGTAATCGCCAGGACGCGCTCCAAAATCGTGGACCCCCGAGAGCAGCGAGACGGTCCCCGCCGCAGTCCCGTCGCTGATCCAGAGCTCGTTATCCTCTGGATTTCGGAACAATACGCTGTCGCCAAAGCGCATGTAGTCCTGGCGCTCCTGCTCGAAGGAAGCCCGCGCGGGCAGCGCGATCACGCGATCGAGCTGCTCGGTGATCACGTAGAGCGAGTCATCGAACCTGTCTGCGAGCAAGACGCGATCCCCCACAGGCACGAGCGTTGGCCAGAGAGCACCATCCAACAAAGCGATGCGAGCCGTGCCAGAAGATGTGCCATCGCTCCTCCACACCTCGCTCTCGAACGTGCTGTAGGTCGTAAAGAGCAAGACATCCCCCGAGGGCGTACTCTTCACGAGTGGCTGTGAAAGCCCCGGAACACCGAGCAAACCTCCCGAAATGGCATAAAGGCCCTGGGTGTCATCGTAGCCGTTCCCTTCGAGGTAGACCTCGTCATCGAACACCAACGGCTTCACCGCGTCAGCGATCTCGTAGGGAGAACCTATTACCGCAGGAGAACCTCCCCCGAGCGGATCGTACTTGAAGAATTCTCGACGCGCGGAAGTCGCCGCCGTGAAATACAGCACGCCGCGATGCACGAGGAAATCCGAAGGATCAGATCCCTGGGAACTTCCATCAAAAGCACGCAACATGATCGCGCCAGGATTCACCCCGTCGCTGCCCCAGATCTCTCTCCTCTCCAACGTATCTCTGGCCAACAACACCAGGCCATCATCCACGGCGACAAACTCTGGCGAGGAGCCTCGAGCTCCGAGCAAGACATCCGCAAAGAGCGCGGTGCCCGATGCCGTCCCATCCGTGCGCCAGAGCTCTCGACCGTTCACGCCATCATCGGCCGTGAAATGGAGGAATCCGTTGTAGACCGCGAGCTCTCGCGGGCTGCCATCATCAGGGTAGCCCGCGGGCAGCGCGGAAGGCGCGGGCCACTGCAACATCGAGGTCCCCACCTCGGTCCCATCACTGCGCCAGATCTGCTTGCCGTGAACATCGTCATCGACGAGAAAATAAATCATGCCGTCAAAGAAGAGCGCGTCCTTCCACGAAGCTTTATCGAAAGCAAACGGGGTGGTCGCGTCGCCGGTGATCGCGGCGGTGCCCTGAGGCGTCCCATCGCTACTCCACAACCTGCGCGCTGGCCCGAGCCCTGCCACAAAGAGCACACGGTCGCTGCCCTCGACCTCCGAGGTCCAGCTCACGTAGCCAGGCGCGGATCCGGCGGTAACCTCCACCAGAATCTCCGTGTTCTGGACTGTCCCATCCGTGGTCCAAAGCTCCTCGCCGCTCGTGGCGTTCGTCCCATAAAAGAGAAACCGCTCCCCGACGCGCTGGAGAAAGTCTCGGTTCACGCCTGATGCTGGTCCCTGCGCGATGTCGAGCACGATTCGGGTCCCCGCGAGCGTCCCATCACTGACATGCACCTCGCCGCCGAACATCGGACTCTCCCCGATAAACAACAGCGAAGGCCCCGCCACACGAGGAGGAAAGAACACCCCCGACGCAGCCCCCTGCGCGAAGTCGAAGAGCATCGATGTGTTTTGGGATGTTCCATCTGTGCGCCACATCTCGAAGCCGTGGACGCCGTCATTGGCCACAAAAATCACCTCGTCGCCAAAGAGATCCTCGGGATCCGAAGAAAAGCGCGCCCCCGAAGAAGACGGGCCTGGCTTGACATCGGCCAACAACCTCGTCCCGGCGAGCGTTCCATCACTGGCCCAAGGCTCGGCCCCATGAATCCCATCCTGGAGGACCATGTAAGCGAGCGCGCTGCCACGGGGGATAAATACCTGCTGTTCTTCAGGCGTGTAGCTGCTCAACCTCGTGGTCCCAGCGACGGTGCCATCGGTAAACCACAGCCCACTGTCGAGGTGATCCTCGACGATGAAAAAGATGCCTGTATCCAATCGGGCTGAAAGTGGCGTGATCGTGGCTCCCCTGCTCGAAGAAGCTGACGAGCGCGGGAGGCTCAACAGCTCGCGCAAGTTCTGTCCGGTGTGATCTGTCGTCCAGAGAGTCGCGTCCTCCTTCCCCTCGGTGACGAAGAAAGCGAGGCGGCCAAAGGTGTCTTGCCAGAGCTCGACGTCGGTATCTGAGGGGCCCAGATCCTTCACCATCTCTATCGCGCGAACCTCGACGCTGGCCTGAAAAGACTGCTGTTCCGATGCCACCGTGGCTGTACACGTGAGCGTATCACCGCCACGCACCTTGTCTGTTTGCAACCTCGCCGTCTGCGCCACGACCTCGCCATCCTCGCGCGTCCAGACATACTCGATCGCAGGAAGCTCTCCGCCTCCCTCGCCAAAGATGGGCTGGCAGTCGAGCCGCTCGCCAGGGAGTGGGTTTTCGGGATAGATCTCGGCCCCCTCGAGCATCGGCACGATGTCATCGACGCACGCGATCCCGAGCACAGCATCACCCCGACCCTCCGGAGAACCATCATCGGTCACGGAAACGGTCACCCGACATTGCTCGTCCTCCAGGGGACAGCGCCAACTCAAGACACCATCTTGCTCGAGCTCCGGTTCGAAAGAGCAATCATGCGCTTCGATCGCGAGGCTCAAACGTTGCGCCGGGATATCCGTGTCCGAGGGAGAAAAGCTCCACGAGCCCGCATGACCGATGCGCGTCTGGCGTCTTGCTGGCGATGTGCGCAGGCTCGGTTCGGTGTTGGTCTCACGGACAGAGATTTGCGCGAGCTGGTCTCGGGTCGCGCCCACTTCATTGACACACACCATGTGCAGCGTGCACTCCCCTCCGCCCTGCTCTTCATTCGGTTTAAAGCGATACGTCGCCTCACCGAATGGAGTCTGGTCGAAGACCTCACCACCACACGTGTCTTGCTCGCCGACGTGGAAGACCCCGAAATCGAACACCTCGAACCCTTCGCACGCCGCCTCGTAAATATAGTCCATTCCCTCTGCCGCGTCGGTCGGCGGTTCGGTCGAGAACTCGGGAGGTGTCTCGCGGCAAACAATCGAGAGGACACCAGCGTCCCGAGCACCGCGTGGATCAGTCACCTGGATCGTCACCTCGCACTGCTCGGCTTCGAGGCAACCCCAGGTCACACTGCCACCTCCGCTCACAGAAGGTTCGAAGGAACAATCCGAGTCGCGAATCTCCCAGATAAACCGCTCATCATCGGGATCCTCTACGAGGACCCCGAAGTAACTCCCGCTGTCCGTCCAACCGGACGCAGTCTCGGGGAGGTTCGAGATACGAGGGGGCTGATTAAAAAGCGAGCCCTCGCTGCCATCGCCATCCGTATCGCCACCTCGACAACCGACCGAGGCCACACAAGCGAGCAGAAGTGACACGCACCATTCCTTGTTCTTCACGACAAGATTCTCCACCGAACCATAAAAAGCAGCCAAAGAATCACGCCGGACCTTTCGCTTCGAGTCATTAGTAAAAATGATACTTATGCTCGATGCACTTTATTCCGCCCTCCCTCGAATGCCAAGAGGGTGTTGAAGATATTCTCCAAGCATGGAGGGGTAGCTTCTCTGTCGCCCAGCGGCGCGTGAAAAAAGGGGGCGCGTGATTTTCAAATCCATCTGGAGTTCGACAACCTTGAAAATCACGCGCCCCCTTTTTTTCACTGCACAGGTCGTGCATATGGCCACTGATTTTTCCCGTAACCGATAGAATCAGGCATGGATTTTGGAGAATCCCCCCCTTCTCTATCCACAGGTCGGCGTCATATTAAAAGTAGTGTCCGCTCGAACCTTCTCAGACGAGGTCACTGTGTCACCGATCAAACCGCTTTTATTGGAGTTTCTCGAACAAACCCACTCCACCGCGAAGCAGGGGCTTGTCCCGACGGACATCGACGGTGTGCATTTTTTCTGGTCCAGGGAGACGATCGAGCGCGAGCCGCTGGTGTACGAGCCGGGCATCATTATCCTGGGGCAGGGGCACAAGGTTGGCTTTCTGGGGGATCGAGAGTTTACCTACGATTCCGCAACCTGCCTCGTGGTGGGCGCGCCGATCCCGTTCGAGTGCGAGAGCCATGCGACACCAGATGAGCCGCTGCTCGGCATCAGGATCGAGCTCGACCTGCCGCTCCTCTACGCACTCGTGGCCAAGATAGGACATCAACTCCACGGCGAGTACGGCTCGATATCATCGCCACAATCCGCCGTCGAGCCGACCCCGATGAGCGATGAAATGAGCGACGCGGTCGCGCGGCTCCTGAGGTGCATGAAGGATCCGATCGACAGCGCGATCCTCGGACCTGCCCTCGTCACAGAAGTGGTCTACCGCATCGTGCGCAGCGAAAAAGGGCGCGTGCTCTACGGCCTCACTCAGCACAACACGCAATACGCCTCGATCGCCAACGCGCTCGCCAGAATCCACCGGGATTACCGCGAGACGTTGAGCGTGGATGACCTCGCGCGCGAGAGCGCCATGAGCACATCCTCGTTTCACAGAGCCTTCAAGAGCGTCACCGGCGACACACCCCTTCAATACCTCAAGAAAATCCGCCTCGATAAAGCCAAGGGCCTGCTCATGCACCAGAACGTGCAGGTCAACGCGGCCGCCTACGAGGTCGGCTACGAGAGCCCCTCTCAATTCAGCCGAGAGTTCAAGCGCCTCTTCGACATCTCGCCGTCTGAAGTCCGCCCCGATTAGCCTCACAAAAAGCCAAAACACATGCCCATCTCTGTCACACGAGGCAGCTTCGAGCAGGAATAGGCATACATGTGACACGAACAGCCATTCCCGCAAACCTCCTCGTCTCCATCATTATCTGGTGTAACCACCGCGGCGAGGAGGCGCTCTCGAGCTTGCTCCTCGCCGCATAATCAACGCGAGAGGAGAAGCGATGAAAGCAGCTATTTTCCACGGGAAAGGTGACATTCGCATCGACCAGGTGCCCGATCCAAAGATCGAAGCCCCCACCGATGCGATCGTACGGATCACACGCACCGCCATCTGCGGCGCTGACCTCTGGTTCTACAGCGGACAACAGGGTTACACGCCAGGCAGCAGGACAGGGCACGAGCTCATGGGGATCGTCGGAGAGGTCGGCGCCGATGTCCGCCGTATCAAGCCAAAGGTTACGCCGCGACGGACAACCACCAGGCGCTCGAAGCACTCGTAAACCTCTGACACCTCTCCCTTTTTTCCTCGACAAAGGAACACCGATGACACGCTCCCGATATGCCATCGCGCTCGCGATGGTGACGACGATGCTCGCATTCACAGCGTGCACGCACACAAAATCACAGGAAACGACAAGCACGGAAAAGATCATGAATGACACGCCGCAGGTAAGCCGCCAGGCCGAGCGAGAAATCTTCCAGGGCACACCAGACAAGTTCACAGGCCAGGTCCAGGGCCGCATGTTCTTTACCCCCAACGAGGTCCGCGACTTCTCGAGCGCGACGGTCTCATTCCAACCTGGCGCGAGGACAGCCTGGCACACCCACCCGGCAGGGCAGACGCTCGTGATCACCGAGGGGGTCGCCTGGGTCCAGATCGAGGGAGATGAAAGGATCACCGCGAACGCAGGGGATGTGGTCTGGATTCCACCAAACACGCGCCACTGGCACGGCGCGACGAGTGAAGGCGCGATGACACACATCGCCACCCAGGGCGCCGTGAACAACGAGGTGGTCACCTGGCTCGAGCTCGTCACCGACGCGCAGTACGCGCCCAGCTCGCCCTGAGTGGTTTCGATTGGTCTCGGCGATGCGCGTGGTGCTAAAAACTCACCGATGCGCGCGTGAACTTCTCGACCCGGGGGCCAGGAGGGTTGCGCCCAGGGATCACCTACAATCGCGACGCGGGCGGGTTTATTTTTGACGGAACCAGAGCGGCGAGAGCAGACTTCAAGAAGACACTCCTCGCCGCTCTGGATACGCCACGCCAGGCTGACTAGAGCGGAACTCTCGATAAAATGATCGCTGAAGACACCGAAGGAAGGACGTGAATTTGGAGCAGTGCTCCAGGAGTGAGGGTGTTGAAAAGATACGAACCCCGGCCCTCAAAACTCTATCCCTTCAACACTCTGCTTCGACAACAATTTCACGCCCTTCATACTACTCAGGACATGCTGTTTATCGAGGGGTCCGCTCTAAAGACAGGTCAACCTGACGAACTCACACACCATATTTGCCACCACAATGCCGTTATTATAAGCTCGCATACAACCCCTCCCCTCGACGATAAAGTACGGAGAAATCATGTTCGACTCACCACACTCCCCGAAATTATTCGCGGTGTTGTTTCTGGTGGTGCTTTTGGGTTGTGGCGATCGCGCGCGCACGCCATCCGAGATCCCCCCCGAGGAGCTCGTGCAGTCGGGGTGCTCTTCAGATGATGAATGTGCTGGAGGGAGATGCATCTCTGGTATCGGAGAGGGGTTGTGCACCGCAAACTGCGAGGTCCAGGCAGACTGCCCGGAAGGCACGATATGCACGGACACCGAAGCGATGAACGGCGTGTGTCTTTTGGCCTGCGAGAATACGAGCGAATGCACGGATCACCTTGGCTCGGCCTATGCTTGTGACACAGAATCCGCGCTGGAGACGGATCGTGACGTCCGCGTCTGCATCGACAGCAGATGATCGCGGTGACAAGCATCACACGTCCTGTTTTGGCGAGTTGCTCAAGACATCGCTGAAGAGATCAGCACGCCCATATAAGCGAGGAAGCCAGCAAACAGCGCGCCTGCCTCCAACCTGTTGATCCTCATGCCTGTCCACATCAAGGGAAACATCAGCAACGAGAAGCCAAGCATCCACCAAACATCGCGGGTCAGGATCACCGAGGGAACCTGTAATGGGAGCACGAGCGCGGTGATGCTCAGGATCCCGAGGACGTTAAAGATATTGGAGCCGACCACGTTGGCGATGGCGATATCATCGCGCCCTCGCCACGCTGCGACGAGCGAGGTGACGAGCTCGGGCGTGCTCGTGCCAGCGGCAACGATCGTCAAACCGATCACCGTGTCCGACACCCCCAGCGATGACGCGATCCCCGTCGCGCCATGAACCAGCAACGTGGAACCTCCGCCGAGGAGTCCGACGCCGATGACGACCGCCAGGATATTATAGAAGAGCGCGCGTGCACCGCTGGCGCCGAACGAGGCGGTCACGACCTCCTCGAAGTCCTCTTTCTCCTGAGAGGTGCTGGAGTGGCGCCCGAGCCAAATCGCGTAAGCGACAAAAGCAACCAGGGCCGCGAACAGGACGCCCCCCTCGACACGATCGATGAGGCCATCGCGAGCGAGCAGGAAGAGCTGCAACGCCGCGAGCATCATCACGGGCCACTCCAACCTGACCGTGTTCCCCATCACTCGCATCGGGCTCACGAGCGCGGCGAGGCCGAGGATGGCGCCGATGTTAAAGATGTTGGAGCCGACCAC